AGTAGAAAAAGCCAAAAAAATCTACCTGACGTTACGCGAGTTTCTACTGCCATTAGCGACAGACTCGCCAGGAGAGACATCAACAATATGTATAAAATATTTTAAATATGACTTTTATTATCAATTGAAGTATTAACTAATAGGTAAAGTCTGTCGAATTTCTAACATTATTGTAAAAGGTGTCGTTTTTCCCTTTCTGTAAATAATAAACAAAAAATTTTTGTAACATTTATTACTAGAAAAATTTAAATTGGTCAAAAAAAAAATAGGTATTGGTCAAAATTAGCAATATACTGTATATGTGTGGGAATTGTGTTTATTCGTAAAAGCAATATGAATATGTCACGTGATACCAAAGCATTAAAATTTATTTATGCGGATAATTTCAATATTAATTTCTTCTATTCCAGAAAAAGAAAAAGAGTAATAATAGTATTGTTTAACTACATTTTACAGTAGATATATAGTATAACGTGACTATTCTCCTCTCTGATTATTTTTTTTTTGTGATGAAGGAGATTACTGTTTGTCGTGTAAATTTTTCCGCATCCTTCAACCTCACATCTATATTCTAAAAACATGTTTTTTCGTTAGTTTCTGTTATATTAAATGTATTAAATAAAAATTTATTTAGACCTACGTTTTTCCCCAGTATGAGAGTTTTTATGGGTTCTTAACGCGTTCGGAGACTGAAATGCTTTTTCGCAGAAAATACACACATGTCGTTTTGTAGGACTAGAAGTTAAAACTTCAACTTGATAGGAGTCTAATATTAAAGTGCCTATCGAGTCCATTAAGCTTACATCGGTTAAATGGCCAATTAGGACGGGGCAGTTTATCGCCTTGATTGTCAATATAGAAAGTTTTTCCTAGACTATTGGTATACAGTAGTGTAATTTATAAACTCATGGTAGAAGTGGTTAAAAGAATAGAGTGTCAATTAAATATATCAGTTTATCTAAGAAGAATTGTGGTGCTCGTGCAGTTTTATAGAATTTTATGATTTTTGTACAACATGCAATTTGGGTATGTAACGATAAGTCACATGATGATAGTGTGTCGTACTCCCTCCTCCTAGAAGAAAAGAACTAACAAATAACACACAAAAGATGCCATTAACTGAACAGAAACCCTTTGGAAAAAACATCTATTCAAACTTATAACAGAAGTTACCAACAATAAAGACTATATAACAATATCCTTCAAATTCAAGCTATGGAACCTTGAACTATTCACCAAAGACAAACTTTATGAAAGATTCTCAAAAATATATACAAATGAAATATGCATCCTCTGTAATAAAGAAACAAAGTTTAATACATATTGCATGAGATGCAAAAACAATAACAAAAGTATCTTCAAAATACTGAATCAAATAATTAACGAAGAAGTCTGTAGCAAAATCACAATCAATCCAAAATATGAACTTAAAAAAGAACTTAAATAATATCAAAACATATGAACACAAGAAATAAAAAATTATATTGTCAGAGGTGCAATTACCAAACTGCTTACTCAATCAAAAAATATACAGAGAAAGACAAACAACAAGAAACAATATGTAATATAATAAACAGACTATCAACAGAACTACATAAAAAATAGATAAACAGATGTGAATATTTTGTCAAATGGAAAAAAGCAAACAACATCAGCAGATAAGAAAAAAGAAAATGATTATTAGAAAAAAGAAAAAAAGTGAAAACTTTTATATCAGGACTTAACAAAATCATGTAACAATTCAGCTATAACTG